GCGGGGGGGGGGGTTTTTGGGGGGGGGGGGGGTGGGATTTTGGTGGCGTTTTTTTGGGGTTTTTTTTTGGGATTTTTTTTGGATCTTTTTTAATTTCATTTGGATTTTTTGTAATCCCACGGAATTTTTCGGGATGAATCCCGTTTTATTTTTCCCGTTTTTCCCAGTACTCCCTGGTGCGGGACGTGGTGTCGGCGCTGCGGCGGCACCGCATGCACGAGCAGCAGTTCCTGCAGCCGCCGCTGCTGGTGCTGGGGAATTTCGGGATTCCGGGAATTCAGCTGCGGCTGATGGCCGGAATGTTCCAGGGAATGTTCCCCGCCCTCAACGTCCACAGGGTCAGCGGGAAACGCCGGAATTCCGGGGGAAAAACGGGAATTCTGGGGTTTGGGGGAGGGGGGAAAGGGGGGGAAACGGGGGTTTGGGAAGGGGGAAATGGGAGAAAAATGGGAATTTTGGGATTTGGGAAGGGGAAAATGGGGGGAAAATGGGAATTTTGGGATTTGGGCTTGGGAAAAATGGGGATTTGGGAATGGGAAAATGGGAATTCTGGGATTTGGGAAGAGGGAAATGGGGGGAAAATGGGAATTTTGGGATTTGGGAAGGGGAAAATGGGAATTCTGGGATTTGGGAAGGGGAAAATGGGGGGAAAATGGGGAAAAAATGGGAATTTTGGGATTTGGGAATGGGAAAAATGGGGATTTGGGAAGGGGAAAATGGGGAGAAAATGGGAATTCTGGGATTTGGGAGTGGGAAAAATGAGAATTCTGGGATTTGGGAAGGGGAAAATGGGAAAAAAATGGGAATTTGGGAATGGGAAAAATGGGAATTCTGGGATTTGGGAATGGGAACAGGGAAAAAAATGGGGATTTGGGAATGGGAAAATGGGAAAAAATGGGAATTTGGGAATGGGAAAACTGGGATTTGGGAATATGGGAATGGGGAGGGAGAATGGGAATTTGGGAATGGGAACAGGGAAAAAAATGGGGATTTGGGAATGGGAAACAAATGGGAATTTGGGAATGGGAAAACTGGGATTTGGGAATATGGGAATGGGGAGGGAGAATGGGAATTTGGGAATGGGAACAGGGGAAGGAGGGAGGATCTTTCCTGTTTTTCCCATTCCCGTTTTCCCATTGTTTTTCCCATTGTTTTCCCCATTTTTCCCGGTGTTTTCCCCATTGTTTTCCCCATTTTTCCCATTGTTTTTCCCATTGTTTTCCCCATTTTTCCCATTGTTTTTCCCATTGTTTTCCCCATTTTTCCCATTGTTTTTCCCATTGTTTTCCCCATTGTTTTTCCCGGTGTTTTTCCCGTTCCAGCTGAACCTGAACTCCGTCCGGCGCTGTCTCCTCATCTCCTACGACGCCGATTCCCAGCTCCTGGAATTCCGGCACTAGTGAGAGCCTGGCATTCCCAAATTCCCAAATTCCCAAATCCCCAAATTCCCCAAATCCCAAATTCCCAAATTCCCAAATTCCCAAATCCCAAATTCCCAAATCCCCAAATCCCAAATTCCCAAATTCCCAATTAATCCCCAATTAATCCCCAATTAATCCCCAATAAATCCCCAATTAATCCCCAATTAATCCCCAATTAATTCCCAAATAATTCCCAATTAATCCCCAATAAATCCCCAATTAATTCCCAATTAATTCCCAATTAATCCCCAATAAATCCCCAATTAATTCCTAAATAATTCCCAATTAATCCCCAATTAATCCCCAATCAATTCCCAATTAATCCCCAATAAATCCCTAATAAATCCCCAATTAATTCCCAATTAAGTCCCAATTAATCCCAAATAAATCCCCAATAAATCCCCAATAAATCCCCAATTAATCCCCAAATAATTCCCAATTAATCCCCAATTAATCCCCAATTAATTCCCAATTAATTCCCAATTAATCCCCAATAAATCCCCAATTAATTCCTAAATAATTCCCAATTAATCCCCAATTAATCCCCAATCAATTCCCAATTAATCCCCAATAAATCCCTAATAAATCCCCAATTAATTCCCAATTAAGTCCCAATTAATCCCAAATAAATCCCCAATAAATCCCCAATAAATCCCCAATTAATCCCCAAATAATTCCCAATTAATCCCCAATTAATCCCCAATTAATTCCCAATTAATCCCCAATTAATCCCCAATAAATCCCAAATTAATCCCCAATTAATCCCCAATTAATCCCCAATTAATCCCCAATAAATCCCCAATTAATTCCCAATTAATTCCCCATTCCCAAACTCCCTCGTTCATTCCCACGTTCCCAAATTCCCGTTTTTTTTCCCAAATTCCCGGTTTTTTTCCCCAAATTCCCGTTTTTTTTCCCCAAATTCCCGTTTTTTTTCCCCCAAATTCCTGTTTTTCCCCCCCAAATTCACATTTTTTTCCCAAATTCCCATTTTTTTTCCCAAATTCCCAGCTTTTTCCCCCAAATTCCTGTTTTTTTCCCCCAAATTCCCAGTTTTTTTTCCAAATTCCCATTTTTTTCCCCAAATTCCCGTTTTTTTCCCAAATTCCCGTTTTTTTCCCCCAAATTCCCGGTTTTTTTCCCAAATTCCTGGTTTTTCCCCCCAATCCAGCAGTGTCCAGGTGGTGCCCGTGGGGCTCAGCCGGGGGATCCGGAAAATTCTCCAGGAGAAATTCCCAGACCTGAGCAGGATGGACGACGTCAGCGAGCTCCTGACGGGGTACGGGGACACCTGGGGACACCAAAAACACACCTGGGGACACCTGGGGACACCAAAAACACACCTGGGGACACCTGGGGACACCAAAAACACACCTGGGGACACCAAAAACACACCTGGGGACACTTTGGGGACACCTGGGGACGCTGTCCTTGTGTCCCCATTGCTGTCCCCAGCTCGGTTCCCCTGTCACTGTCACTGTCCCTGTCCCCACTGATGTCCCCATGTCCCCCCTGATGTCCCCATGTCCCCACTGATGTCCCTGTCCCTGTCCCCAGCTCAGTTCCCCTCTCCGAGAGCGAGGCAGAGCCGGACGTGGCTCAGACGGTGCCGGAGCTGCCCCAGAGCTGCGCCGGGCGCGGCAACGCGGTGACACGGCAGAGTGCCATCAGACTGACCGAGGTGACATTGGGGACACCCCTGGGGACACTGGGGACACTCCTGGGTAACGCGGTGACACGGCAGAGTGCCATCAGACTGACCGAGGTGACACCTTGGGGACATCCCTGGGGACACTGGGGACACCCCTGGGTAACGCGAGGACACGGCAGAGTGCCATCAGACTGACCGAGGTGACATTGGGGACACCCCTGGGGACACTGGGGACAC